GGGGTGGGGGGGGGGGGGGGGGACCCGAATTCAAATAAAATATCAGTACTAGAATTCTGGAATGTCAAGAATACAGATATTTTTTTGAGTCCAAAATAACCAAATCCGAGAAATACCGATTTTTTGGGTGCGCGCACCCCTAATAAGGCTCCTGATCCAGCATAGGGAGACATCAGGATACAGGGATGGGGCCTCTACAGCCCAGCCCCTGCCTTTTTGGGGGAAGAAGAAGAAGAAGAAGAAGAAGAAGAGGAAGAAGAAGAGGAAGAAGAGGAGGAGGAGGAGGAGGAGGAGGTTGGATTTATACCCCGCTCTTCACTACCCAAAGGAGTCTCAGAGCGGCTTACAAACTCCTTTCCCTTCCCCTCCCCACAACAGACACCCTGTGAGGTAGGCGGGGCTGAGAGAGCTCCGACAGAAACTGCTCTTTTTCAAGAACAGCTGTGCCAGAACTATGGCTTGCCCAAGGTCACCCAGCAGCTGCAAGTGGAGGAGTGGGGAATCAAACCCGGTTCTCCCAGATTAGAGTCCGCGCACTTAACCACTACACCAAACTGGCTCTCCATTGTGCCCAATCCCTGGTTTCTTCAGTTCAAGGATGGTTGCAGGGAAAAACATTCCTCTGCTAGAGACCTTGCAGAGCTGCTGACAGTTGAGAGAAGACTGAGCGAGATGTCCTGAGGGTCCAACTCTGTCTGAAGCAGCTCCGTATGTACAGAAAAATGAGGACGGCCATGCATCTGTGTATGTGTGCATGGGGTGTGTGTGGAGGAAACAAGAAGAAGAGAGAGAAGAGATTGGATTTATACCCCACCCTTCACTCGAAGTCTCAGAGCCGCTTACAATCTCCTTCTCTTCCCCGCAACAGACACCCTGGTGAGGGAGGTGGGGCTGAGAGAGCTCAGACAGAAACGGCTCTTTTTCAAGAGCAGCTGTGCCAGAACTACGGCTTGCTCAAGGTCATCCAGCAGGTGCAAGTGGAGGAGTGGGGGAATCAAACCCAGCCCTCCCAGATTAGAGTCCGTGCACTTGACCGCTACACCAAACAGATGCACTCTTGCTCCTTTTTCTGTTGCACGTCTTTTTTTTTAAAAAAGGTTACGCATTCCAAATGAACACACTTCAGGCCTGGGGTCTTTGCAAAGCAATATTTCAAAAACATCAGGGTTTATCAACCACCTAGCTTTAAAAGAAGGGAAAGGAAACGAAACCTTGGGGGAAACTAAGGGTTTCTGACCAGGATGGCCTAGACTGGCCTGATCTCATCAGCTCCTGGAAGCTAAGCAAGGAAGTCCAGGGTTACTACCAGTGTTCCCTCTAAGCTGAGTTAGTGTGAGCTAGCTCACAGTTTTTTAGCCTCCGGCTCACACATTTTTGTCTTAGCTCAGGAAGGATGGCTCCAGAGCAAAACTAATTTATGCAGCAGCCAAATCGCTTGCTCACAACTTTCATGCCAGTAGCTCACAAAGTAGAATTTTTGCTCACAGGACTCCACAGCTTAGAGGGAACATTGGTTACTACACAGAGGCAGGCAATGGCAAACCACCTCTTCCCTTGAAACCCCCCCCGGCGAGGGTCTCTGGCAGGGTGCCCCTGGGCACCGTGCTGCCTGCCAACATCTCTCCTGGTGTCTGCCAAGTGTTTTTTTGAAAGTGGGTGGGATCTGATGGCACTTTTGCCCTGTGGGGCTTCTGTCTGGCCGCTGGAGAGATCGGATTGGCCGAGCAGCCACCAGAGCCCAACAGTCTTCACTAACTGAAAGTAAGCCGTTCGTATAGGCAAGAAAATGTTTCGAAACAGGATGTTCGTGTCAAAACATGTCCTGTTGAGTAATACCTCTGCCTGGAATGTTGAAGAGTTAATAATTTATTATGCACATCCTCACTCCCTGAGGTTGTGGCTGGCTCCGCCTCCCGTGCATGCTGTTTTGTGGTTGTCCCCGCCTTCTGCCATAGCCATTTGGTGGCCGCGCTCACCAAACTGGGTCAGAATGCCAAAGGTGCCCGCAGGCACAAAAAGATTGGGGGACCCTTCCCTATGAGGTTGCCATAAGTCGGCTGCCCCTTGAGGGCAGTTCATACACGCAGGCTAGTGGGGAAATGAACCCCGAAACAGAGTGTTCCCTCTAAGCTGTGGAGTCTTGTGAGCAAAAATTCTACTTTGTGAGCTACTGTCATTAAAGTTGTGAGCGGGTGATTTGGCTCCTGGATACATTAGTTTGCTCTGGGGCCCTCCTTCCTGAGCTAGGACAAAAATGTGTGAGCCGGAGGCTAAAAAATTGTGAGCTAGCTCACACTAACTCAGCTTAGAGGGAACACTGGATTCTGGAACAGTCTGCCTCAGGAGGTGGTGGATGCTCCTTTGGCTGGACATTTTCAAGAGGAGGCTGGACGACCATCTTTTGGGTATGTTGTAGGCAGGGGTCATTTCGGAGAAAAAGAGGTGCAGGAGCTCATTAGCATAAATTATTTGCATATGCCACACCCCCTGACATCACCGGAAGTGTGTCAGTAAGGCAACACCCACCGTTCAGGCTCCACTGGACTGTTTTGGATTGCTAGCTATTGGGGGGGGGGAACGTGCAGATCT